ATTGCCGGGTAGATGCCAGGGTGATAGCTGCAGGTGCAGCAAGGTCTGGAGCACAAGACTTCAATATTATTCCCGGAATGTTGTTAGGGCCCATTGCTTTTGCAGTATCCAATGCCTCAAACACTTTCTTAATATCACATGGAGTAAAATGAATTGGCTGAAGACTGGCATCTGTGGTGCTAAGGACCTCTGGAGGAGACAAAGACAGATCATCCACTCAGCACTTTCACTGAAGATTGTTGCAAATGCATCAGCCTTATCTTTTGTACTGACATGTTTGGCTCTCCCATTATTGAGGATCATTGATATCTTTGGAACCTCACATCCAGTGAGTTGTTTGTTTTCCATCACCATTCAGAACTTAATATGGCAGAACTGTAGAGGTCATATCTGGTCCCTGGTTTATGGAATTGCTTAGCTCTGTCTATCACCGCAGCGTATGCTATTTGGTTTGCAAATAGTCCTGTTTTGCAGTTTCACCAAGTCAACACCTTACGTTTAGGTGTTCCTGGTGCTGCTCTTGACATGCCCTCCTGCACTAAAGCAGGTTTGATCCCCTAGCTTGATCCCATGTGCAGCAAGTTTCCTCAGACCTTAGATGGACAATTCAGACATAATTCCACTGACCACCGAAACCCCAAATTTAGCCACCTTCTTTAAACATCAGTCTATCACAAAATAAAAGAAAAAAAAATGGAATTGGTACTTTCCTCAGATCTTATGAAAGCTAATGAAGAGTGAAAAACAATACATGGCACACGGATGCTCCATGGCCTGGAGGAAATGCGAAGAGGCAGGGATGTGTCTACAACAGAAGACCAAATATTCAAAATTTCAAAAATGCTATTAATATCTCAAAGGAAGTGGAACACATAGCAGCTAAGCTCAAGACCAGCTAATTTAGATAACCATACAGAAGGTCTCTTGATTGTTTTAAAATGAATGGCCAGGACAGGGAGATGTAAGAAATAATAGCAGGACATGTAACCAAACTACATTTAAAAAACCTTCTTCGATTAATTTTCCAGTATACCAATTTTGAACTTCATGACCAAACTGCTTCACTTATTCTTACTTTCTTTCAACGGCAGTAATCAAAAATAGTTGGTTATATTAGGAATTACAGTCAAATGAATTGCTTTTAAAAGAGTATTTTAGAGGAGGACCTTCCCGATTGTGCGTCTTAAGTGACTGAAGACATGACAATCAATAGTAAAAAAAGGGCAAAGGGTAGGTATATACAGAGGGCTAAAGTCACACGAAGAGGGGGTTCAGGAAGTTTGCATGGATGGAGGAGGCTACCAACATAGGGAGGTACAGGGATCCAAAGGGCTTTAGACATAAGATGATTTTCTTTAAAATTTGTGACATTGAGACATTAGGATTCAATTTAAGTCAATGAGGCTAAATATGATGAGTGAACACTGTTCAACTGGTGCAGGTAAGCCTCACCAGTACATTTTCAGATGAAGTGAAACAAGAAAGATACAGAGGATGGGGAGGTGGTGGTAAAGAAACAAGGAGCCCCTCCTGAGGGGGGGCTGAGCAAGTGCAGGACGGACAGACGGCAGGTTAGGGAGGAAGGAGAGTGTCCAGTGAAGGGGAAAGGCAGAGAGTGTGTTTCTTAGTTGTTCAGATACACTGTATATTGATATATTTGAAATGCATTCAGACAGCAATATATTTCCATCATAAGTATACCTTTGAATTGATAATTACAGTGCGCAGTTAAAAATTACTAGAAATGACAGGAATGAATGCAGTACACCTTAGAAAATTTCTTTCTCTTCTGTAAGAGCAGACCATATTTTCATAAATACAGTAATTTATAATGCTAGCTTGATCAAAATAAAAACAATATTTATTTTCATGACATTAAATACAGCTACAGTTTTGAACAGCTCATCCTTTCAGTCTTTGCTGGACTGGATACAGATCTTAAATGAATCACCATCAGGCCAGCCAAGCTGGCAAGAGTACAGCATGGATAGAAGTGGCGAGCATGCGCAAGAGATCAGTGGAATAAATGAGCACAGTGGTATAAAAGAAATGGTGAGAAAGGGAGGTTCTGCGAGACCTCTGGGATAAATGAGTTCACAGGTCAATGAGAATAAAAGAGAGACTCTACAAAATTAGCAGGATAGCTAAGAACACAGTAGATAAAAAGTGATGTGAAAGCACGTGAGAGGGCGCGCACAGGGGAGCGAGAGGGTGACAGCGACACAGCTGGTTAATTGAGTATTTCTTTGCTGAAAGGTTTAAAACTGCTTGCTCCCATTTACAGCACCTTTTATACCCTTCACCCCTTTGCAGCCCCTCTCTCCACTTCTGCAGTACCCCCTCCCTATCTTACAACCTTTTCAACCCTTCATTCCTTGTTGCTGTGCTCCGCTTCCTTTCGTAGCTACACTTGTCCCACGGGGGCCCCAGCCTCACTACTGTCTCCTACTGGAAAACACTCAGGTTGTACAGTACCAGCAGTGTCTACCAAACACAAAGATGCTCTTCAGAAATTTAACAAGGCTCCTTAGCCCACTCTTTTCAAACCCACAAATACTACCATCTGGAAGGACATGGGCACCACTGAGATGGGAACATCATCACCTGCAAACTGCTCTCCAAGTCACCTGACAGCCAGATTTGAAAATATATCACTGCTCCTTTACTGCTAGAGTCAACACCCTGGAATTCCCTACCCAACAACACTGTGGTTGTATCCACACCAAACAGATCTTAGCAGTTCACCACCACCTTCTCAAGGGTAATTAGGGATGGTCAATAAATGTTAGCTAGCAAAGCCATCAAATTACAGATAGAAAGAAGGGATGGGTAAGCGCAGGCAGTCAGGAATAAACAGGTGGACAGTGCACGAGCTGCTTGAATGCATCCGCATCTCCAACCAGTATTCATTCTTGAACAGGGGGTTGGCTGTGCAGAAAGACACAAGGTTTTTTAAGAGGAGCAACATTGAAAGAAGATATGTAAACAGACAGACATTTCTGTGACCATCGACATGAATCCAGAATGCTGCACTGTCCCCTACTGCCAGAGTCAACAGAGGAGGGGAAGTAGCCAGCAATTGCCAACAATATTGGTACTACCAACATGCACAGAAAGTAAAAACGCCATGCTACAACCAGTGTTTACAAGGTTAAGTAGGAAATTAGCAAACTGGACCTCAAAAGTAGTCATCTCCAGATTATCCCCATTGTGCATGAGGCTGGGCATTAAAAAAAAGGATATAATAAAGCTTGCTGGAAAGTTGGTGCTTAAGAGATTGGTTGAAACTTGAGATATTGGGACTGGCTCTGATGGTAATATTTAGGCTGGGACTGAGTTCCTTGAACTGTAACTAGCATTTTTTGTGGGGGTGGGGTGTATTTAAACTAATTCAGAAAAGTGGGAACCACAAAGCAATAATATCGAAGAAAACACTTAGGTGCACAAGATATTGAGAGAGAAAGACAGCATTAGACTGGGGAATAGCACATGATGAGAAATGGCAAAAGTAAAAAAGTTCACATTTGGGTGCAAGTATGTGAATGAATATAATGTGGCAAATAAGATTGGTGCACGACAGGCACAGATCGCCATATAACGTGCTCGACAAAGTTAGAAAAGGAATAAATGGGACACAGTATTGGTTAAAGAGAATGTTGCAGGGCTGGAGAGATGGATAGCTAGCACTAAAAAAAAGTGTATTGAGGCTTGATTAATGCTCAGAAAACAGTAGAAATAAACAGTTTGCTCTTAGGTTGGCAGACTAGGACTAGTGGGCTAGCAATCAGTACTTGGGCACCAATGATGTGAATGTAGGGCCCAAATGTAATACATTCACAAAACTAGATAGGATTATTAGGTGTGAGGAAGAATGAGGAGTTTCAAGGGGATTTAGACCGGCTAAGTAAATAGGACGGTAGATAACAAAGTAGATAGAAAATAACTTGGAAAAAGTCTACTTCTCCACTTTGGCGAGAAAAAGAAATGTAGTGTAATTCTTCAATGTCAGAGTATTGATGCCCAGGTGTTGCAGGTACAGCAAATGATTAGGATGGAAAATGCTTTATTGGCCTTCATGCAAGAGTGTTCAAACACGAGTAAAGCTAACTTACTTCTATTGTATCTAACCGTGGTCAGACTGTACCTGGAACATTAAGTATAGTTTTTATCACGTTCCCAAAGGTAAGATTCACATGCCATAAAGAGAGTACAGCAAGGTTCCTCAGACTAATTCTTGGAATAGCAAGATTGTCTTCTGAAAGAATGGGGAGATTGGGCCTATGTTTAAGAATTAAGAAGAATGAGAGCTGACCTCAATTAAACCTACAAAGTCCTTAATGGAACAGTCAGGATGGATGCAGAAAGGATATTTCCTTCAGTTCGGGAGTCTAGAAACAGGACACGTAGCCTCAAAATTTAGGGCTTATAGATTCAGTCATACAACACAGAAACAGATCCTTCAGTCCAACTCGTCTATGCTACCAAGTTGAGCAAACTAAACTCGTCCCATTTGCCTGTGCTTTACTGGAGACGAAAAGAAATTTCTTCATTCAGAGGGTGGCAAATCTTGGCAATTCTCCAGCCCAGAAGACTGTGGAAGCTCAGTCATTGAGCAACTGATGGATTTTGACATATTGATGATATCATTAGATATGGAAATAGCACTTGAAAATAGCATTGAGATACATAATTTGACATGATCTAATTGAACAGCAGAGCAGACACAAGATGCTGAATGGCAATTCCTCTTAGGATTCTCACAGGTCTGTGTTGGGTCCCTTGCTTTTCCTGATATTAAGAAGGTGGACCTTTGTGTACAAGGCCAACTGTCAATATTTGCAGATATTGCAAAACTAGGAAGCATTGCAAACCATGAGAACCATGTTCTTATGCTCCTATGGTCCCAAATTAGAATGATGGATGGCTTGGACAGTAATCTTGTAGTTGTGGTGTTTCCATGCATCGGGAGCATGGAGGTTATGTTTAACTTGAATAAAACATTACTTCGGCTTCAACTGCAGGATTGCATCTAGTGCTGGACACCACACCTCAGGCGAGATGTAACGCTGTTAAAAGGGTGCAAAAAAAAAAAAAAATTCACAAAATCAGTTCCAGGAATAAGGAACTTCAGTTATGTGGGAAAGTTGAGACTGTTCTCCTGAGAGAAGAGAAAGGTGGCAAAAGATTTAATGAACATATTCAGAATATCGTGGGTTCTGGACAAAGTAGATAGGGGAAAAACTATTCCCTAGCAGAAGCAAGAACCACAGAGGACAGATTTAAGGTCACTGGCAAAAGAAACAATGAAGACAGAAGGATAAACCTCTTCCCACAGCAAGTGAAGATCTAGAATGGTGCAGAGGCAGGCTCCGTTAAGGCACTCAAGAGGAAATTGGATTATTTTCTAAAAAGAAAGATGCATAGTTATGGAGAGAAGACAAGGAAATGGCATTAATTACATCAGTCATTTGGAGGGCCACACAAACACGATGGGTTAAACAACTTGCTTCTGTGATGTTATAACTCTAATTTGTACGAATCCTCGAAAAAATTCAATTTAAGACAGAATACTTAGACTTATTTATAAATGTGCAATCATTTAGCATAAAACAATCACAATAGTTGTAATTATTTAATAACTAATCAAGCAAGTGGAAACCTGCTGAACCATGTATCAAATTAACTTGATTTTGAACAGTAAAAAAAACTTGTGCTAGCATAACACTTGAGCTAATTACATTAGCACAATTATTATCTGGAAAATCATAGTATCGCAAAACTGACAACATAACAATAAGCAATATCATAATGAGCTCCAACACCACAAGACAGTTTCCTTCCATCCATGCTTGTCACTGTATGCTGAAATGTCTTGGATAACACTCATTTTACTAAATTTTCCAACCAGGGGTAATTTGCTCCACAGTATCACAACATAACTAAAATACAAATAACCAATTTTGAGCGCATCAAAAAAACAGACAAATAAAAACTGTTTCCGGATGGCATGAGAACACCTTCTCACCGGAAGTTTTATGTCTATAGCACTTAAACACCTTGTCAGATATCCATGAAGTAAATGTCTTAATAAAATTGAAGCTGATGTGATTAAAAGAACAAGGGGAGTACAGACAAAGTTGGCGAAGGAACAGAAAGCAGAGAACACCACCATTGGGTTACTTGAGGCTAGAGAGAAGCATAGAGAGGTTTACTGCAATGGTACCAAGTTTCAATTATATGGAGAAGCTAGAGAAACAGATTGTCATTCTTCAAGTAGCTGTAGAGGGGAGATTAAATAGAGAGATGCAAAATTAAGAGGAGTTGTAGAGTGTAAGGAAGAAGAAACTGGTATGTGGGTCAGTCAGTAGACAAATTGAAGATAACTAGGCAGATACCAGAAGACAGATGAGTTTTCTTTTAAACCCAACTCATTATAATGATCTGGAATTGTGTGATGGGCTGCAGAAGCAGATTAGTGATAAAGGTTTTTGTTATTTGGATTTTAAATATGGGTTTTGATTCCAATTCTGAGAGGGTATGTTCTTTTTCAGAAAGAAGTCAAAGTCCTTTGGAACATTGAACTAAATACATAACTTGCAAGGAAGCTTGTGATTTCAGTTAAATGATTCACAAACTACCTCTGAAGTTAATTGCTGAACTGTTTGAAGGGTTCAGTTTTATGACAAACAGAAAAACAAACCGGCAGGGGCCACTGGTAGCTTGAGTTCAGTTCAGGAGAGTCAAGTTTCAGTTCAGGTCATCCTAGCAGAAAATCAGTTTCACAACAAGAAGGCAGTTTGTTCGTTTACAGCAGTCTCCTGGTTACCAAAACCAAAACGTGATCCAGGCCCTCAGACCTGCAAAGATGTTTTTGGAGTTATCTATAAAGAATAGTGCTCAGGAAAAAAGTTGAATCTTCATTTTTGCTGATTATGTAATGATCTTTCTAACTGCCACATATAGTGTGTTTCTTCCTTTTGTGCAATAAGTTTGGTTAAAGAACGTTGGCAGCCCCGTGTGAATATATTCAGTGACTAACCTCAATAACCAAACTGCAAAAGAAAATATACGATCTATCAAGCCATATTTCACTAAATCTTGCCCAGTATTACCATCAGCCAAGATCATAACAGATCCAATAGTAACTTTCAAAGGGAGACTGGACATATGGTCAAAAGGAAAAGGTTTAAGAGCTATTTTGCAAAAAGTGAGCAATTGTACTCTCCGTTTAGTAGTATCAGTAAGCCAATAGTCAAAGCAATACCCAAGCAATTAATCTACAATATTTTGTAGATGCTGTTAGACAAATTCAAATGCATTATACAGGTCCTACCTGTAGATTCAATGTACTCCACACATCTTTCAATAAAAGATGGTACAGGGCGATCAGGAGTAACCACATCTTCAAGGGGCACTCCAAAGTAATTGCTGTCCCAATTTCTCCTTGATGGTAAGGTAGGTTTCTGTCCCTTTGAAGGGTAATAATTATAAAACAAATTGAATTGACAATTTTGTTGATGTGTCATTACAGAAAGTTAAAATGTTAATTCAATTACCTTCCTGCACACAGTGCCCACATGGATCAGAAACTGATAGCTAATTAGACGACTAAACTATAACTTAACAAATCTTTCATAATTGGCACATTCTGCAAAAGTTACCTTTCTTTACAATTTAGTGCATTCCCATCCCCTATAATGACTGAATTTCCACAAATTAAAATGCTATTTCCCTTCCACCACATCCAGAGAGCATTTTAAATGCTGGAATATAACAGTCAAGTCAAAATGGCATCAACTTTCTTTTTGTAATACAAAGTATTTGTTTAATTTCAAAAAACATATCATTGAAACTTAATTATTTCTCTAAAATACTGCCTTCAAATGTTGATAGGTATTCAAATTAGAAAATTCCAAATTAGAAACAGAGCTGCTCAAAAGAGACAACTACCGAAAAGGAGATATTTTGAAAACTCATGCGAATTCCTGAGCTTACATCTACGATCACGTGGGAAGCAGGGTGGGAGGAGAGCAAATGGGACCAGCTGTACTTTAGATTGAAGGTAGTCTCCTGATAAATATTTCCATTATACACTTGAGAATGCTGGAGAAACTCAGCAAGCGTGGCAACATCTGAGGTGCAGACCTCCCCAGATACTGCGAGACCTGCTGAGCTTCTCAAGCGTCCTCGGTGTTTGCTTCAGATTTCCGGCATCCGCAGTATTTTGCTCTTATTTTAGCTACAGACCAGGTTTCTTTTGCAATTTAGTTAATTTTTGATTATTAATTCCTTCCAGATTTCCTTTATAAAACCAGTTAAGTCATGCATAATGACGGGTCAATGCAATGACTATTATTCAAAACAAACATTCAGACGACATCTGAACAATTTTCAATCATGTCAGACCATTATTTGAAAAACACAACTATATGCAAGAAATACAAATTTAAAAGATAAAACTTGCCTTTTTGTTTGGTTTTTGTGACTTTGGTTTTGCTGGCTTCTTGTCTTTTCTATGCCTCCTTACATCATCGACTTCTGGATCAGATGCAATAGCAGGGTTATCAATGCCTGCTTTCCCACAATTTTCTGGGGACAATAAAGGATCTTCCTCACTCCCACGATGATTTTTCCCCTTCTTTGGTTTTCGTGAGGAAGAAGGCACAGTTTCATCATCACTGACATCAAAGCGTTCTCTCCTTCTATAGTACAGTCTAGCCTTTCTAAAAAGTGTCTTGGATTTGTATTTATATTTTGAAGGCTTCCGTATTATCGGTGGCTTTGATGATCTATCAATTAATCCATTTTCTTCCTCACCTTGAGAATTATTTCCCCCAATCAAATTTGGTTTTCTTACAATCTTAGTATTCTTGGAGTCCTGGGGAGTCGAATATATTTCATCGTCCACTTTGGGTTTTAATACAGCATCTTTTGGAACGGAATAATTGTCAGATGGATCTAATTCATCCAGATAGCCAAAAGGTCCACGATTCTGTCTCTTTGGATTTTTACCAATGACCTGTTCAATGGTTTTTACGAGATTTGGATCAAGTTTTCTCACATCATGCCTCGAAATAGCAGGTTTAGGTTTAATAGGTGGAGGCACTTTATGGTTATCATGATTAACAACTGGACTACTATGAACTGGATATTCAGTTCCTTCAAAATCTGGGCGATGTTTGGAACGATCACTTGATGATGGAAGCAACTGCACCTCATCCCCAATAGGGCTATAAGGTGGAGGTGCTTCATTGTCATCTTCTGAATCTGGGTAATAATTGTAAGCTGGAGAACTTGCCCGAGGAGATAAAGAAAGGTCTTCACTAACATTTGTGGATTCTCTAGCGCTATCATATATATACGAATTTTCAATGCTATTTTTCTTCTCCAGAACTTCGCTGAAGAATGGTGTGAAGACTTCTGTCTGCCGATGATACTGCGATAAAGAATATATTGCAGTGAACTTTGCAGATATCTCAGTTGCTATATGCTCACCCTCAGTCATCAACTCCTTAATTGCTTCACTTTCAAAAAAGTCAGCTTGACTGTCAGTAACTGCCACAAGCTGCACTGGAATAACATCTTGAACTTCTGCCAAAAATGCACGGAGCATTGCCATGGATGCCTTTCGTTTTGCTGAATAAACTAGGATATATCCATGGACTAACTCATCCTTCCTAACACAAATGGACGAGTGATATGAAAGTATTGTGATCTGAATTCTTTTGCGTTTTTCACCAATAATCTTCTCAAGAAGGAGTGAGTTGTTGTGACCAGGTTGAGTAGCGCTACAAAACTGTGATTCCAAAAAAGGTGAAAGGATTAAGTCAACATTAAATGGATCTCCACACATGGCACACATGACAATTCTCAAGTCAGCTTCTGACAGATCTTTAATATTGGGCAAGGGACTGACAACATTTAAATTGTGTTTCAATGCATCAAGAAGTCCTCGAAGAGCTTGTTTTATTTGGAATTCATGAAATTTGCGCGTATAAGTTCCAGAGGGTACGTCAACAAAAGGACATTGTAACTTATTGGCAAGTTGCTGCCCTTGTAGTCTTAAAATAGGCAAGTTCTTGCAACCGATGTCTCTCTGGCTTGCTAATATTAGTGTAAATGGAAGATTCGTTAAAATCCTGCCCTTCCTGTTTGGGGTCGTTTCACTTCTTATTCGTTCTAGGCAATCTGCCATACCACTAAATGACTCTGTAGAGTTATAGACACAGAAATATCCATGAGGTTGATTGGTCAGTGTTAAGCCAGACATCACAAAAGTGTTTAAATCAATTGGTTGAAGGTCCAGTTCATAAATTTTACCATCTAAAGTATACTCATCATCGGTACATTGAGCTCGAATCTCATTGGCTAGTTCTTGTGCAAGCCCATCCCGACCCAAGAGAACAACATTAAGTTTGTCAATATTGGCACTGTCCTGATATGTGTTTGGCCGGTTGTTATCAAATTCTATCAGATTGGTAGAAAGCAACTGTTCTACCTTAATGTCCATGCAATTTTGGCTACTTAGACACGTTTCTTTAGTTGGATGATACACAAATCCTATGTGCTTTAACAAAAGAGATTCACGATCTGGTGCAAGCTTCTGTAAAGCTCTGTACCTTGGTTCTTCACTCAGAACAGTATTGATTTCACTCATTTTGGGTGTTGCATTAAGATCTAGATCATAAAAAAGTTCAGAGTGTTCAAAAAGCATTTCTTGGAATTCCTCTTTTGCTTTTTCAACTATTTCTTGCTGATGTCTACTATAAACCTCTCGGCGGTCAGCATCAGTTATAAATTTACAAGCTTCATTGTCTATGACAAAGCATAAAACCTCCTCCCAGGGCTTACCAGGTGTAATTAATTGCACCTTTTCAAGGTGTTTTTTAAACTTCTCCTTCATTTCAACCCTTCTCCTCTCAGAAATTAAATGTTGCACATGATTGTGGTACACCTTTTCTCCTTCTGATGTATTAAGCAGATCAAAAGGAAGTCTTTTATCATTTATATTATCTATGTGGTCAGTTTCATCCCATGGTGTTTTTTCTAGTACAACAAACCAGAGTGGAAAGTTAGACCTTTGTTCCAAAACATTTTGAGCTTCCGACCAGGTCAAGTGCTCAATTTCTTCAAGGTCGGGAAGCAACGCATTAAGGACTTTTGGTAATAAAGTGATATATTCCTCCCGTCGCTTTTTAATATGTTCCTGTTTGAGTTGCTCAATGTGCTTAGAAAATGTATTTTTTGCCTTCTTTGACCCCTCCAAAGTTATGTACTCTTCATAATCAGGATGGTTTTTCAACTTATTACTCACAGCTTTCCAGTCTGAATGATAATCTTTCACTGCCTGAACAATTAACTTTTCAAACTTGTCTGTTGCTGAAGCAACAAGTTGTCTCTGCTGCTTATAAGCATCCAGATATGGAATAATCTTCGGTTTTCCCCGTGTCTTATCCAATAACTGGATTAAGGTAGCAAAACACAAATCCACATTCACGTGAAA